AAAACACCCTGTATGGTTCTTCAAAATGATCTACAAAGAACCTTTCAGATTGGTTCTATAAATAACCTTTTTCATTCTCCATAAAGGTTCCAGAAAGAACCATAAACCCGTATGAAAATGTATGCACTCACTAACTGTAAGTCGCTCTGGATAAGAGCGTCTGCTAAATGACTAAAATCTAAAATGTAAAATGTAAATAAAAAAGGGTTCTATATAGCCCCAAATAGGGTTGTAACCACTGCGGAACCCTTTTTTGGTGCTATATAGAACCTTTTTTAACGGTTCTTTGTAGAACCATTCTCCATAAAGGTTCTATAAAGAACCATAAAAAAGGGTTCTATATAGCACCAAAAAGGGTTCCGCTATGGTTACAAGCTAAATAACCCCTATCTGGTTCTATATCTTTTAGTGTGTAGCTGGAGCAGCCACAAAGTCATAAAGTCCTTAACCCTAACCTTAACCCTAACCTTAACCACACTGCTAACCCTAACCTTAACCCTAACCTTAACCACACTGCTAACCCTAATGCCTATCCCTAACCTTAACCACACTGCTAACCCTAATGCCTATCCCTAACCTTAACCACACTGCTAACCCTAACCTTAACCCTAACCTTAACCACACTGCTAACCCTAATGCCTATCCCTAACCTTAACCACACTGCTAACCCTAACCTTAACCCTAACCTTAACCACACTGCTAACCCTAACCTTAACCCTAACCTTAACCACACTGATAACCCTAACCTTAACCCTAACCTTAACCACACTGCTAACCCTAATGCCTATCCCTGACCTTAAATTAAGACCAAAACGTTTTTACAATATAGACAATTTTGACTTTGCAGCTGGCCCATCTAGAAGAAACACTCAGTTTTGCCTCCAGGGCAAGATTCATAACAATAAATGTCAACCTGCCTTTTGCATACAACCTTTATGTCAACAACCATGTAATATTGAATACAAAAATTCCCAAATGACATGTCAGAGAAAAATAAATACACCATAAAGTGTTATGGGGAATTATAATAATCATACATGTATCTGCAAATATTGATAAAACCATACATTAGGTATACAGTCTTGTAAGATTATATTACAAACAAATGCATGCCATGTAGTCTCTCTTACCTGAGCAGGTGAGCTCCTCTGATCAAGGACCAAGTCCCAGGTTTGAATGATTGAAGTAACCTTTGATGCTGCCTACATGAAATTGCCCACAATTACTCAAAATAATGTTATTTTGACAACAGCACTGTCATTCCTCAACTGCTGCTGATAGAACACAACCTGTTAAGATCATCGTGCTTTCAAATTTCCAGATTCATGGAGAAAACATCGAACTCTTCGTTTCACGCATCCTGCGCTCGAGCTGCTGTGTGTAGAAATCGCGAGGGAGGGTGTGATGCGCTATGACGGTATGATGAGAATGTAACTCAACTTCCTCCACACACCTGCAGCACCTTATAAAAACATTCCGTAGTGAACTACACTGTCAAAAAGTAATGTTCACTATTAGAAAACTGTTTATGGGAACACATGCTATATGGAAAGAGTTTGTCAATTATAAAGTGTGGAAATATCTACTGTGTGATATTGAAAGGATTAAAATGAATATCATCGTTATAGAATGGCTATTACACCGAGATAACACCATTATCATTATTTTTGTGCACTGTGCAAGTAATAATCCTAATGTCAAACTAAGACAAGCTTTGTATGCTTGGTATAGATGTTTTCCTATAGGCAGAATGCAGACCGCTGAGCATTTTCACATGGTAATGTCAGACAATAATGTAATTGCAATAATGTAATACAATTATTTTATAAAACTTTTCTTTTTGGGGGGGTGGTGTGTAATAAAATGTTAAAATTATACTTGAAATTCTTATTTTAAATAGCTCTCTTGATTCATATTATGATAAATGACAATACATTTCAGAAAGTACACTGACAATAACAAAAGATACCACTGCGGTTTTCTTGTTACAAATGCAGAGAACCACAATGATAGTTACAGCCACCAATGGAGATGTGGTGGGACATCCTTTCACTAGTCAATATAAGGACACATTGAGAAATGGGATGTTATGCTATCATATGCTTGAATAGCCTTATTGTCAGATGTGTTGAGAACTGACCTTTTGAATGGACTACATTGTTGAATATGTTCACAATGTGTCCTCCACTAACTGTGTATACTGTCTGGAAGACACTTGAGCCAAACAAATGATATGTATCTTCCAAAATAAGACCCAGCTTTGAACTGGTTTACAAAATGTCATTTAAAGAGAATAAATACTCCCATTATACAACAAAGTGAGCAAAGAGATAACATACCAGAACAGGCACAAAAATTGGAGTACACTGTAAACCAGGGCCTGTATTCATAAAACGTAGGAGTGCTGATCTAGGATCCGTTTTCATAATAATTAATATGGTTACATGGACAGAGGGTACCTGGTCCTAAACCAGCACTCCTACCTGGTCCTAAACCAGCACTCCCACCTGGTCCTAAACCAGCACTCCCACCTGGTCCTAAACCAGCACTCCCACCTGAGACACTTTATGAATATCGGCTCAGGACTGTAAAGACGTGTGTTAGTCCACATCCCAGCCCTAGGCCACACCCTGCAGTAATCCTACAAGACAAGGAGATGGATTAGACCCCAGAGGTCTGTCAGAGACAGTAAATGAACCTCTTCTTACAGACATGATATGGGAAGCACCCCAACTTAATAGTTTGTTACACTGTAGTGTAGGACATACACTTTACATGTGTTTTGCTGCAGGGGCTGCTGTAGATATTGTTTGATGATTCTCACTGTCGATGGATCGTTGTTATCTATGATGCACTGTACTGAAGTTATTTTCATTTGTGTTCAATTAGACTTGCAAAGTGAGCGTTCAACATTTTATATTGAATTTGTAGAGAAAAGAAGGAAGGGAAGCGCTGCTATGATACAAAATAGTAGATTTTTATAGATAAAAGGTGCTAATTTTGATGCCAAACCCACCACTGGTGTGAGTGGCCAAAGAGCTCTATTTTCATGTCATCTAACAAATGTAAATGCCTGGAGTTTGCTAAACAGCATTGGCACTTGGATTGGAACCGGTGCTTTGGTCAGATGACATGAAAATAGAGCTCTTTGGCCACGCACACCAGTGGTGGGTTAGGCGTCGAAATGAGAATGCATGAGCAGAGAATATCCCCATACCTACCGTAAAATATGCTGGTGGATCTTTGATATTATCGGACAATTTTGCTTCCATTGGTCCTGGGGCGCTTGTTAAGGTCAACGGCATCATGAACTTTACCCAGTGCCAGGACATTTTAGCCAGAAAACTGGTTGCCTCTGTCAGGAGGCTGAAACTTGGTCGCAAGTAGATCTTCCAGCAAGACAATAACCCCAAGCATACATACAAGAAAATGGTTAGTTGGCCACAAAATCAACGTTTTGCAATGGCCATCTCAGTCTCCGGACTTGAAACCCATTGAAAACCTGTGGTTTGAATTGAAGAGGGCAGTCCATAAGTGCAGGAGGATATCAAGGATATCAAGGATCTGGAAGGATTCTGTATGGAGGAATGGTCTAAGATCCGCCCTGTCATTGGATTTAGGTTAAAAGTTGTGTGAAAAAAATATGAAATTTCCCTTACATTGATGACTTTTTGCAAATCCAATCAGTTTTCCACATTGATTCAACGTCATCACATAGATTTAAAACAAACAAAAATATGATGTGGAAACAGCATTGATTCCACCGGTTTTTGCTCAGTGGGCTTTCTCTGAGCAATTATATTAAAATAAAATAGTATAATTTCCCAATTTGTTTGAGCATACAATATAGCTCAGTATTGTAATAATTGTTTTTATACAGTCATTTTTGCTAATCTTTATCAAGGCTGTCAATAATTTGGGACCCCACTGTATATACAGAATGTTATTGTTACTTAGTAGCCCTATCTTTGTGTCGAAAGGCGAGCATGGGAAGAGTGCCATTCATACAGTAAGCTGCATTTGAGATGGAGAACTGAACATAAAATATCTCTACTGTATTATCCCCTATGCCAAACAATCCACATTCATCAACCTTCAAGTCTTTTAGAGATGGCGGTAAACATAACGTGTGTCATGAAATGTCCTGGAATTTTTCCCTGTTACAATGGTGACAGATCCACAGACCAAGGGTAGGCCTACAGCGCATTGCATAACAGCAAGGAGGCTTTGTACATTTGTTTGAAAATATCTGTTATTTCTATGAAGTGTCCTTGACTCTTTACATTTCACTCTTATTCACTATGTGTTTATATTTATTTATTTAACATCATGAAAAGAAGAACAGAAACACATTTTGAGGAAGAGAAATGTCATTTATCAAATAGAATGCATAAAGTACCAAAATATTGATCATACTCTACAACAATAGTCTGACATGAAGTCGATTTTTTATTTTTTTTGTCATTTAGCAGACACTCTTCTCCAGAGCAACTAGGGTTAGGTGCCTTGCTCGAGGGCACATTGACATATGTTTCACCTAGTCAGCTCAGGGATTCAAACCAGCGACCTTTCGGTTACTGGCCCAACACTCTTAACCGCTAGGCTACCTGCCGCCCTTTCTTATAATACACATTATTCATAGAGCTTATGGCCTTTAAAGCACAGAACAGGCTAACACTTGTACATAGAGTATGAACGTATATCTCCCGAGACTGCACTGCAGAGAGACATACGGCAGTTAGTGGGAAGAATACTAGTCATTTAGATAGAATCAGAAGAGTATCTCGACTTTTCACAGTATAATTCAGAATGGACTGAACTTAGGTGTCCTGAGCTCAAGTGTTTCCTATTGTTCCAAGTGAGGGGTGTTATGGCACATTTGTGGACTCTGTAAAGTTCAGTGTCCCTGTGTTGTGAGCCCGGCTAGGCCCCCTGGTGGAGCCAAGTTAACACCCCTTGTGGAACTAGACTAGGCCCCCTGGTGGAGCTACATTCGACTAGGCCCCCTGGTGGTAGGGTGGGGCAGAGCTACAGCTAGCTGTAGTGGAGTCATCAGAGATCTTCCTAGAGGAGGTGTTGTCAGACTTGACAGACGGAGAGCGGTGCACCAGCTGGTTTTGCTTGGTCTTGCCGCCGACTGTCACGGAGCGGCTCCAATCTAAACAGGGTCAAAGGTAGAAATGAAGCAACCTCAGGAACACTCTCTATAAACCACCTGGGGCTAATGAAATATCAGATAGACTGCTTGGAGGTCCCTCGACTGTACCTGAGTAGTCATTGAGCCTGAATCGGCCACAGCACAGATGGATCCACTGCTTCCTCACATTCTCTTTCATCAAGCAGTGGAACACAAAGATAAAGAACCCTGAAACACAGACGGAGAGGAGATAATGGGGTCTCTCTCTCTCTCTCTCTCTCTCTCTCTCTCTCTCTCTCTCTCTCTCTCTCTCTCTCTCTCTCTCTCTCTCTCTCTCTCTCTCTATTGTACAGTAGACAACAGTATATTGGTCCCCTTACCTTATTGTACAGTAGACAACAGTATATTGGTCCCCTTACCTTGCAGACTGTTGAGGACTGAGAAGAGGTAGAGCATAGGTACCCTGGCCGGTCCCCAGGTAAAGAAGGCTATTGGCCAGGTGAGACCCAATAGGAAGGTGAAACTGGCCACCGCCCTCAGATCATACATGGCACTGCGCTTGTTTACTGTAGCTGTAGGCTTATTGGTCTGCATGTGTCGGATCTGGACCAGAACCACGATGAACACGACCATGTTAAAGACCAGGACCAGTAGCACGAACGCCATGACGGTGATGTAGAAGAAAACGTTACTCTGCATCCAACAGCTGAGAACAGGAGGAAGAGGGAGGGGGAGAGAGAAATGTGATTAATCACATGTATCAGTAACAGTGGTCAACTGGCCATGCTGCATACTCACAATGGCTCAGAGCCCTGTAGAGAGTCAAGGGAGGCCTCAGATAGAACACTGCCATAGGCATCCTTCTCTATGGCCAGGACCAGGCTGACTATCACCAGAGGAATGCCTGTGTGGAGACAGAGAACTTTACTTCTTCATTCTATTCCCTTGCGTCAAACAGGATCAGTGTGAAGGATTCAATCACTGACTACAATATAAAAGCACTCAAAATGAAATTAAATAACTTTAACTTACCTTGATTTGACTGATAGACTGATGTTCAGTGTTTCCAGATTTCTATTAATTAATTGCAATATGATTGACAATATGGGTTGCACCATTCAACTCGTCTATTTCTTCTACATCCATTAATACCAACCAGTAGTCGGTGTGATTAATGGGGGCTGAGCTAGAGTGGTGTTTGTAAGGGCTGATCCCGAAGGGGACTGGGGCCGGGTCTACAAAAACATCTGTAGAGTCCGAATCGTTTGAACTACAAACTATTAAAAGATATCTATGAAAAGCTGAGACTCTTATGAACATGCCCATATTCTATGATGCTCACAAGCTACACAAGAGTCGTAAGAAGGTAAGGGGTTCTTCTACATAGAAGATCATAGGAAATCTCAGGACATAGTGTCTATAACACTTTAATAAGCTCACATAGTTGCTGTCACAAACTCCAAACTCCACACAGTTGTCACTGACTAGTTGGATATTCATTTCCCAATTAGCAAACAATTTCTGTACTTACAGCATTCATATAAATTCATTTTATCAGGTATTTTCTTTGGCCAAACATATTTTTTGTTGTTGACATTTGTCAATAAAACTCATGAATGCAACTGTTTATTTCAAATAGTTGTGTGTTCTAATTGTAGACCTGGTTGTCCTGAAAATAAAATGTTAAAACACTTCATTGTGAAGCTAAATATAAGGGCTGGATAAAGAGATACATAGAAAGCCGATTTTTGCTGGGGACCAATAATAAGTATGTTAAAAAGCAGCTTTTCTGTGTTTGAATGGTGTGGGCGTACCCCAAAACCAAAATGGTGTGGGCATATACCGGTGAATAAAAATATGGAGTGGCTGCGGTTCTAGGTTTTCTGGAACCTAGACGTTTTGGACTAAAGATAAAGAGATTTCTGCGCATGTGCAGGATCCGCTGCGCTCTTCCCCCTCCGAGTCCTTTCAGCTGCTGCTTAGTGCTCACTCACTGCCGCTTGTTCGAACAAACGTAGTTGTTTGTAGTAATCAAAGCAAACATAAGCACGAAACAACAGGCACTCTAGCGATTTCATGTTATTCATGTTATGCAGCTATTTAGGCAAGCTATAATATATACAGTGCATTCGGAAAGTATTCAGACCCCTTGACTTTTTCCACTTTTTGTTACATTACAGCCTTAATCTAAAATTGATTACATTATTTCCTCATCAATCTACACACAATACCACATAATGACAAAGCAAAAACAGGTTTTTAGAAATGTTCCATTGATCATTCTTGAGATGTCTACAACTTGATAGGAGTCCACCTGTGGTAAATTCAATTGATTGGATATGATTTGGAAAGGCACACACCTGTCTATATAAGGTCCCACAGTTGACAGTGCAAGTGAGAGCAAAAACCAAGCCATGAGGTCGAAGAAATTGTCCGTAGAGCTCAGAGACAGGCACAGATCTGGGGGAGGGTCCTATAAAATGTCTGCAGCATTGAAGGTCCCCAAGAACACAGTGGCCTCCATCATTCTTAAATGGAAGAAGTTTGGAACAACCAAGACTCTTCCTAGAGCTGGCTGAGCAATCAGGGGAGAAGGGCCTTGGTCAGGGAGGTGACTAAGAACCCGATGGTCACTCTGACAGAGCTCCAGAGTTCCTCTGTGGAGATGTGAGAACCTTCCAGAAGGAAAACCATCTCTGCAGCACTCCACTAAATCAGGCCTTTATGGTAGAGTGGTCAGATGGAAGCCACTCCTCAGTAAAAGGCACACGACAGCCCGCTTGGAGTTTGCCAAAAGGCACCTAAAGAACTCTCAGACCATGAGAAACAAGATTCTCTGGTCTAATGAAACCAAGATTGAACTCTTAGGCCTGAATACCAAGCGTCACGTCTGGAGGAAACCTGGCACCATCCCTATGCTGAAGCATTGTGGTGGCAGCATCATGCTGTGGGATGTTTTTCAGCGTCAGGGACTGGGAGACTAGTCAGGATCGAGGGAAAGATGAATTGAGCAAAGTACAGAGAGATCCTTGATGAAAACCTGCTCCAGAGCGCTCAGGACCTCTGACTGGGGCGAAGGTTCACCTTCCAACAGGACAACAACCCTAAGCACACAGCCAATTCAACGCAGGAGTGGCTTCGGGACAAGTCTCTGAATGTCCTTGAGTGGCCCAGCCAGAGCCCAGACTTGAACCCGATCGAACATCTCTGGAGAGACCTGAAAATAGCTGTGCAGCGACGCTCCCCATCCAACCTGACAGAGATTGAGAGGATCTGCAGAGAAGAATGGGAGAAACTCCCTAAATACAGGTGTGCCAAGCTTGTAGCATCATACCCAAGAAGACTTGAGGCTGTAATCGCTGCCAAAGGTGCTTCAACAAAGTAAAGGGTCTGAGTAAAAGGTCTGAAAACGTATGAAAATGTGATATTTCCGTTTTATTTTTAATACATTTGCAAAACAATCTAAAAACATGTTTTTGCTTTGTCATTATGGGGTATTGTGTGTAGATTTTTTTTTTTTTTTTTTTAAGATCCATTTTAGAATAAGGCTGTAATGTAACAAAATGTGGAAAATATCAAGAGGTCTGAATAATTTCTCAATGCACTGTATATATATATACACAGTAGCAGTCAAAAGTTTGGACACACTGACTCATTCAAGGGTTTTTCTTTATTTTTACTATTTTCTACATTGTAGAATAATAGTGAAGACATCAAAACTATGAAAAAACACATATGGAATCATGAAGTAACCAGAAAAGTGTTAAACAAATCAAAATATATTTTATATTTGAGATTCTTTAAATAGTCACCCTTTGCCTTGATGACAGCTTTGCACACTCTTGGCATTCTCTCAACCAGCTTCACCTGGAATGCTTTTCCAACAGTCTTGAAGGAGTTCCCACATATTCTTAGCACTTGTTGGCTGCTTTTCCTTCACTCTGCCGTCCGACTCATCCCAAACAATCTCAATTGGGTTGAGGTCGGGGGATTGTGGAGGCTGCAGAATGCTGTGGTAGCCATGCACCTCCTCCTCCATGCTTTACGGTGGGAACTACACATGCAGAGATCATCCGTTCACCCACACCGCATCTCACAAAGACAAGGCGGTTGGAACCAAAAATCTCAAATTTGGTCTCCAGACTAAAGGACACATTTCCACCTGCCTAATGTTCATTGCTTGTGTTTCTTGGCCCAAGCAGGTCTCTTCTTCTTATTGGTGTCCTTTAGTAGTGGTTTCTTTGCAGCAATTCAACCATGAAGGCTTGATTCTGTGATGAGTGTGATTAGAAGGAGTCAGGCGCAGGAGGGTGAATCACTGAATACAGAGTTTATTCCGTCGTACACAGTTGCGCTGGATAGCGACAACAAAATATAGGCACAGGGGAATAATCTACCCCGGCAATACAAGGTACGGGTAGCTCCACCGAGCTACACTCAACTCACATAAAACAATCACCCACAAGGACAAGGGGGGCAGAGGGAACACTTATACATGGACTAATGAGGGGATATGAACCAGGTGTGTGTAATTGACAAGACAAGACAAATGGAATGATGATATATGGAGCGGCAGTGGCTAGTAAGCCGGTGACGATGAACGCCGAAGCCTGCCCGAACAAGGAGGGGAGGCAGCCTCGGCGGAAGTCGTGACAGATTCACACAGTCCCCTCTGAACAGTTGATGTTGAGATGTGTCTGTGACTTGATAGCGCTTGATGGTTTTTGTGACTGCACTTGAAGAAACTTTCAAAGTTCTTGAAATGTTCCGTATTAACTGACCTTCATGTCTTAAAGTAATAATGGACTGTCATTTCTCTTTGCTTATTTGAGCTGTTCTTGCCATAATATGGACTTGGTCTTTTACCAAACAGGGCTATCTTCTATATACCCCCCCCCCCCCCCCTACCTTGTCACAACACAACTGATTGGCTCAAATGCATTAAGAAGGAAAGAAATTCCACAAATTAACTTTTAAGAAGGCACACCTGTTAATTGAAATGCATTCCAGGTGACTACCTCATGAAGCTGGTTGAGAGAATGCCAAGAGTGTGCAAAGCTGTCATGATGGTAAAGGGTGGCTATTTGAAGAATCTCAAATCTCAAATATATTTGTATTTGTTTGTCTCGATCGTATACAGACTGGTCGAACCAAGGCGCAGCGTGATAAGCGTACATTTTATTAAACGATTAGACACACGACAAAACAACAAACAAACGATACGTGAAGTCTTAAGGTTACACCAAACAAACCTATACAGATCAAGATCCCACACAGACTGGTGCCAAACGGCTGCCTAAGTATGGTCCCCAATCAGAGACAACGAGCTACAGCTGCCTCTGATTGGGAACCACCCTGGCCAACATAGATCTACACGATCTAGACACTAAACATAGAAAACTTAACATAACACGGAATATGCACACCCTGACTCAACAAATAAACGTCCCCTGAGTCAGGGCGTGACAGTACCCCCCCCCCAAAGGTGCGGACTCCGACCGCGCCACATAAACATAACAGGGTAGGGGCCGGGTGGGCATTCCGCCTCGGAGGCGGATCCGGCTCCGGGCGTGACCACCACTTTCTCTCCACCTCCCTGTTGCGCCCCTGGTCTGGACCTCGGCGCGCTGCTTCCCCTCTCCTTCCTCCCACGACGTACCAAGTCCTGTCTGGACCCTGGTGTGGGAGACCCCGAACCTGGAGAGGGCCTGACGTCTGGGTCTGGACTGGCACCGCTGACTGGAGCTGGACCCGACGACGGTGGATCGAACTGCACAGGCTCCGGACTGGAGCCGCTGACCGGAGCTGGCCTGGGCACCGGTGGAGCGGACTTCTCTGGCTCCGGAGTGGAGCGGCTGACCGGTGCCGGACCAGGCACCGGTGGAACAGGCACGGGCCGTGCCGGACTGGACACACGCACCACTGGCTTGGTGCGGGGAGCAGGTACGGGCCGGACCGGGCTGACGACGCGCACCACTGGTTTGGTGCGGGGAGCAGGAACGGGCCGGACCGGGCTGACGACGCGCACCACTGGCTTGGTGCGGGGAGCAGGAACGGGCCGTACCGGACTGTCGACGCGCACCACTGGCTTGGTGCGAGGGGCTGGAACAGGCCGGACCGGGCTGGCGACGCGCACCACTGGCTTGGTGCGAGGGACAGGAACAGGCCGGACCGGGCTGGCGACGCGCACCACTGGCTTGGCGCGAGGGACAGGAACAGGCCGGACCGGGCTGGCGACGCGCACCACTGGCTTGGTGCGAGGGACAGGAACAGGCCGAACCGGGCTGGCGACGCACACCACTGGCTTGGCGCGAGGGACAGGAACAGGCCGGACCGGGCTGGCGACGCGCACCACTGGCTTGGTGCGAGGGACAGGAACAGGCCGGACCGGGCTGGCGACGCGCACCACTGGCTTGGTGCGAGGGACAGGAACAGGCCGGACCGGGCCGTGAACACGCACCACTGTCTTGGTGCGGGGAGCAGGAACGGGCCGGGCCGGACTGGGAACACGCACCACTGGCTTGGTGCGGGGAGCAGGAACGGGCCGGGCCGGACTGGGAACACGCACCACTGGCTTAGTGCGGGGAGCAGGAACGGGCCGTACCGGACTGTGGAGGCGGACTGGAGGTCTGGAGCGGAGAGCTGACACAACCCGTCCTGGCTGGATGCCTACTTCCACACAATATGTGTGAGGCATTAGCACAGGACGTACGGGGCTGTGCACGCGTACTGGCGATACAGTACGTAGCACCGGCGCAGGATATACAGGACCGAGGAGGCGTACTGGAGACCACGAGCGTTGAGCCGGCACACCCCGTCCTGGCTGAATGCCCATCTTCGCACGACACGTGCGTGGTGCCAGCACAGGACGTACAGGACTGTGCCGGAACACTCGCGGCACAGTACGTAGCTCCGCATAACACGGAGCCTGCCCAGTCACACGCTTCCTTGCATGAGTACGGGGAGTTGGCTCTGCTCTAACACTAGGCTCCGCCAACCACCCTTTTAGCTCCCCCCAATTTTTGGCCGGCACCTTCTGCGTTGCCGCTGCTCCTCTCTATAGCGCGCCTCCACTGTCTCCTCCCAAGGACGGCGATCCATTCCGGCCTGAATCTCCTCCCAAGTCCAGGATCCCTTCCCGTCCAGGATCTCCTCCCAGGTCCAGGCTGTCTGCTCCTGGACACGCTGCTTGGTCCTCATTTGGTGGGATCTTCTGTCACGATCGTATACAGACTGGTCGAACCAAGGCGCAGCGTGATAAGCGTACATTTTATTAAACGATTAGACACACAACAAAACAACAAACAAACGATACGTGAAGTCTTAAGGTTACACCAAACAAACCTATACAGAACAAGATCCCACACAGACTGGTGCCAAACGGCTGCCTAAGTATGGTCCCCAATCAGAGACAACGAGCTACAGCTGCCTCTGATTGGGAACCACCCCGGCCAACATAGATCTACACATTCTAGAATCTACACCATAGAAACTTAACATAACACGGAATATGCACACCCTGACTCAACAAATAAACGTCCCCTGAGTCAGGGCGTGACATTGTTTAACACTTTTTGGGTTACTACATGATTCCATATGTGTTATTTAATAGGTTTGATGTCTTCACTATTCTTCTACAATGTAAAAAATTATCAAAATAAAGAAAAACCCTTGAATGAGTAGGTGTGTCCAAACTCTTGACTGGTAGTGTATATACACAGCATATCAACAATCAAGACACAGAGAGGCAGCCAATAGCAATTTAATGTGCAGACATTGCTATTGGGAGGTAGAGTTCTTTTTTCAGCAACTCTGGCTATATGGCAGCATTACTATAAAGATTACATCATCACACAAAACTCTGATATATGCACATTATTCTTTTTAAAATTCTTCAAGCTCTGTCAAGTTGGTTGTTGATCATTGCTAGAAAGCCATTTTCAAGCCAATTTATGTCAAAACTGTAACTCGGCCACTCAGGAACATTCGACGTTGTCTTTGTAAGCAACTTCAGAGTATATTTGGCCTTGTTTTTTTGGTTATTGTCCTGCTGAAATGTGAATTTCTCTCCCAGTGTCTGTTGGAAAGCAGACTGAACCAGGTTTTCCTCTAGGATTTTGCCTTTGCTTAGCTCTATTCCATTTATTTGTATCCTAAAAAACTCCCTCATTCTTTCCGATGACAAGCATACCCCTAACATGATGCAGCCACCACCATGCTTGAAAATATCAAGAGTGGTACTCAGTGATGGGTTGTGTTGGATTTGCCCCAAACAGCACGTTGTATTCAGGACATAAAGTTAATTTCTTTGCCAAATGTTTCACAGTTTTACTTTAGCCTTACTTTAGACTTATTTCAAACAGGATGCGTGTTTTAGAATATTTTTATTCTGTAAAGGCTTCCTACTTTTCACTCTGTCATTTAGGTTAGTATTGTGGAGTAACTACAATGTTGTTGATCCATCCTGAGTTTTCTCCTGTCATAGCCATTAAACTCTGTAACTGTTTTAAAGTCACCATTGGCCTCATGGTGAAACCCTGAGCAGTTTCCTTCCTCTCTGGCAACTAAGTTAGGTATGACGCTTGTATCTTTGTAGTGACTGGGTGTATTGATAGACCATCCAAAGTGTCATTAATAACTTCACCATGCTCAAAGGGATATTCAATGTCTGCTTTTTTATTTTTACCAATCTACCAATAGATACCCTTCTTTACAAGGCATTGGAAAACCTCCCTGGTCTTTGTGGTTGAATCTGTGTTTGAAATCACTGCTCGACTGAGGGACCTTACAGATAATTGTATGTGTGGGGTACAGAGATGAGGAAGTCATAAAAAAATCCTGTTAAACACTTTTATTGCACACAGAGTGAGTCCATGCAACTCATTAGGTTACTTGTTAAGCAAATTGTTACTCCTGAACTTATTTTGTCTTTCCATAACAAAGGGGTTGAATACTTATTGACTGAAGACATTTCAGCTTTTCATTTTGTATTAATTTGTAATCATTTCTAAAAAAAATCTCAATTTTAAATTCAGGCTGTAACAAAACAAAATGTGAAAAAAGTCAAGGGGTATGAATACTTTCTGAAGGCAATGTATATATTTTTGGAATGTTCGTTCCAATCACCACCAAGTTTTTATTTCAGCTGTTCAGAAATATGAGGCTACATTATCATTCGCTCAAATTGGTTGAGGGTTCAGAAGAGGCTGAGTAAAGCATAGTGTAAAGAGAGAAACTTCAATGTGTTTGTAAAATAACACATGCGCAGAACGTGATTCGGATTCTTAGTTTTGAGAAAGACATTTCCAGAGGTGCGGGGCGGGGGCGAAAACTCAGTGTTTGTATCCTCGGCCATAAAAATATTAATGACAAGTAAACAGCTGATTGGCCAGCTCAGCCAATGAGACATCTCAGCCAAAAACATGACATCATCCTCTCTGAGGAAATAGCAAGCATTTTGTAAACGGTTTGAGTTGGGGTTTTTAAGAGTTTTTTCTCAAATTTTTGATTTGGCCACAAATACAAGTATAGGACGAGTCAACGACATTATTTGGGTATGAGTTAACAGATTATGAGCTTTTAAAAGATTTTAATTGGACAGTTACTTTAAAGATGTTATTACAAGTGTCCTTATTTTGCCTCAGACTGCCTTGGCTTACCCCAGCCGAGGGCGCAGAACTTGAGGATGTAGGAGGGGATGTAAACGTTGAAGACCTTGACCAGAGCGAAGTACATGTGGACGGCCTCCAGGCCCATCCAGGTGAATGAGGCTAACAGGAAGTAGTGCAGCGTGGCTGCCGTGGTGATGCAGAGGCCGTAGCAGCCGAAGGAGGACAGCCAGGAGTCCAGCAGGAAAACCAGGTTGAGGCCCAGCAGAGCCACAGTGAGGTTGATGAGGATCTTAGACGGATAGTCTCGACGCAGCTTCCTGTGACAGTGGAAAGGAGAAAGTGTGTGAGAGATAGAGATAGAGGCACAGGGTGAGAAATTGGGAGATGAGTGGAAAGAGAGTGAGAATGAGAGGAATGGTGAGAGTGGCAGATGAAGTACAGGAGGAGATTAGATAATACAGAGAGAAAAGGGGGAGAGATGTGAAGGGATACAGAAAAATAGAGAACAATATTCTATATGTCTATATGTCTGGATGCTGACTTACTCAAAGACCATGTAGGTGAGCAGGCTGATGCCCAGGAAGATGGAGGACACACCACAGCCCAGGTAGGAGATGACCATCAGTGTCTGCTGGTCAGCCTCACTGATAGGAGTCCTTGACACATCCTGTAGGACACCACAGAGGTCAAAGGTCAAAAGGAGCATAATATATCAGTCCAGATGCACTGTACTAATGCAGTTATGTGATTTGAACAAAGACGACTCACCAGGAGCACGCCAAAATGGGTCAGGTGGTAACAGTGGCAGGTGGTCTGATAAGCGGTGATGCTTGGTAGTGTCTCACAGCCGTTGCTGTCCCACCCACCACTCCCATTGTTCTTCTGGAAGTCCCAATGCACACACGCCACCTTGTCGTTTTTCTGTTGGGGAAGCAAAGGATGTAGCTAGTCAGGCGCTAAAGCAGAAACATTACTACGCTCAGTGGTAAAATGAAGCTATTTTTCATTCCTCACCTCTTTCGGCTTGAGGTGACTAAGTGTCACCACCACGGGATTCCTTAGGTTGCTGACATTGCTGTTGTTGACACTGGCAGACACCACGTAACTATTCAGCGTCCAGTTGGTCTTTGGGTCCTGTGAATGATCATAAAACTTTAACACTGAATGATTGTACATTTGCTGCAAGTTTTCATTTAAAATAAGAAAACCATTAAACACCTGTAGTATCCTTCCTTATTAATTATTAATTAACCAAAATAATTATACACCTCATATGTTGTAGATGGCATCACCCTGAAGAGCTCCTGTATGCCATAGAAGTGGAACTGAACTCTCTTTTTTTTGTTTTCCTCGGGGAAGAAGTTCTGAAGGGCATGGGGTAGAGAGATGGACACCACTCTGCCGTCGGAAGGCTGACTCATGAATGTCTGGTTGACAAAGATCTACAACAGAAAGAGGTGTACATATACTTACCAGGTGATGCACACTCACTTACACACACACACAGCCAACACTGCTGTCCCATGCTATAGAGACATTGAACCACTGGTCACTTCCTGTTTCACACTGTGTATTTAAATACTGTATCCCCAACGTAGCTCATCATAATATTTCTACTACTGTACATTGTATTTTAGTTATACTGTTTAAACACACTACATTTTAGTCATTTAGCAGACGCTCTTATCCAGAGTGACTCACAGGAGCAATTAGGGTTAAGTGCCTTGCTCAAGGGCACCGACAGACTTTTCACTTAGTCGGCTCAGGGATTAGAACCAGCGACCTTTCGGTTACTGGCACAACGCTCTTAACTACTAAGCTACCTGCTGCCCATATTTATTTATACACTGGATCCTTGACATATTATTCTACTGCTGTACATATCTTTCTAAGCTGATCTTGTGTAAATTCTCCCGGTGTATAACGTTATACAGTACGTATAGATTGCATTTGGGTTTTTAATCAGATTTATCCCGCCGTTCTTGATTTCTTGTCTTTTTTTCCCCTTACATTACTTTTTAATGCATTGTTAGGATGTAGTAAAATAAGCATTTCGCTGCACCCACTATAACACCTGCTAAACTGTGTACGCGACCAATAAACTTTGATTTGATTTGAAATAATCAAAACGTATGTATAATTATTTATTCAAGTCGTCATATATAACTGTAATTGGTCATTACACCACAGTGAAAACACTGGACACGTGTTGGAATAAACACTGTTATTGTAAAACTGTAAGGTTCTGTATTTATTTTCTTAGTTCACCTTGTGTTCTTGAACGTAGTCCTGTTTCTTTGTGTTCTTGAACGTAGCCCTGTCTTTCATTTCTGTTCATTGATTTCACCTGTGTTAGTTACTCACCTGGTCTCATCAGCTCCTTATTTAGTTCAATTCATTCTGTTTGTGCCTTGTGAGGTATTGTTCATTTTGACTCTACTAAGCCTTTTCCTAGCTCGTTTCTGAGAACCAGTTATAGCCTTCAGTCCTCGTTTTTGATTCACCTGCCTGTTTGCCTACCTGTGTATGACCATTGCCAGCCTGTGACCAAAATTCCTGCCTTCTGCGAAGGCGAAATAAACACCTGCCGCGCTCTGCACGTGAATCTACACCTTTTTCTCCCTGTGTATAAATCATGTGCTGTTTTTCCACATTGAAGGTTAACTAGAAATTAATGCTACAGGCTAGAGTCATTCCGAGAAACCTTTAACTGTTTCACAATAACCTCTGCATGTGTCCTACATTTCTCTGTTCATTCAAGGCCATGCCCTCATTTGAATGGAGTAAAAACAGTCCAGTGTTTCACGCAATTGATTTTCAGTAAGGAAGGACTCGAGCAAAAAATGATCTGACATTTATATTGACAGGACAGGTACAGTGTCTTGCGAAAGTATTCACCCCCCTTGGCATTTTTCCTATTTTGTTGCCTTACAACCTGGAATTAAAGTTGATTTTGGGGGAGGGTTTGTATCATTTGATTTACACAACATGCCTACCACTTTGAAGATGCAAAATATTTTTGGGGGTGAAACAAACAAGAAATAAACTTGAGCATGCATAACTATTCACCCCCCACCCCCAAAGTCAATACTTTGTAGAGCCACCTTTTGCAGCAATTACAGCTGCAAGTCTCTTGGGGTATGTCTCTATAAGCTTGGCACATCTAGCCACTGGGATTTTTGCCCATTCTTCAAGGCAAAACTGCTCCAGCTCCTTCAACTTGGATGGGTTCCGCTGGTGTACAGCAATCTTTAAGTCATACCACAGATTCTCAATTGGATTGAGGTCTGGGCTTTGACTAGGCCATTCCAAGACATTTAAATGTTTCCCCTTAAACCACTCGAGTGTTAATTTAACAGTATGCTTAGGGTCATTGTCCTGCTGGAAGGTGAACCCAGTCTCAAATCTCTGGAAGACTGAAACAGGTTTCCCTCAAGAATTTCCCTGTATTTAGCGCCATCCATCATTCCTTCAATTCTGACCAGTTTCCCAGTCCCTGCTGATGAAAAATGAAAAAGCTCAATTTTAGTCTCATCTGACTAGAGTACCTTCTTCCATGTGTTTGGGGAGTCTCCCACATGCCTTTTGGCGAACACCAAATGTGTTTGCTTATTTCTTTCTTTAAGCAATGGCTTTTTTCTGGCCACTCTTCCTTAAAGCCCAGCTCTGTGGAGTGTACGTCTTAAAGTGGTCCTATGGACAGATACTCCAATCTCCGCTGTGGATCTTTGCAGCTCCTTCAGGGTTATCTTTGGTCTCTTTGTTGCCTCTCTGATTAATGCCCTCCTTGCCTGGTCTGAGAGTTTTGGTGGGCAGCCCTCTCTTGGCAGGTTTGTTGTGGTGTCATATTCTTTCCATTTTTTAATAATGGATTTAATGGTGCTCCGTGGGATGTTCAAAGTTTCGGATATTTTTTTATTACCCAACCCTGATCTGTACTTCTCCACAACTTTGTCCCTGACCTGTTTGGAGAGATCCTTGGTCTTCATGGTGCCGCTTGCTTAGTGGTGTTGCAGACTCTGGGGCCTTTCAGAACAGGTGTATATATACTGAGATCATGTGACAGATCTAGTGACACTTAGATTGCACACAGGTGGACTTTATTTAACTAATTATGTGACTTCTGAAGGTAATTGGTTGCACCAGATCTTATTTAGGGGCTTCATAGCAAAGGGGGTGAATACATATGCACGCACCACTTTTCCGTTATTTATATTTTAGAATTCTTTTTAACAAGTAATTTTTTTCATTTCACTTCACCAATTTGGACTATTTTGTGTATGTCCATTACATGAAATCCAAATAAAAATTCATTTAAATTACAGGTTGTAATGCAACAAAATAGGAAAAACGCCAAGGGGGATGAATACTTTTGCAAGGCACTGCTGGAGTATAGACACTGTATCTCTGTCAGCTGTGATAGCCACTGCATGTCAAATCCAGTAGGTGCCTGACCAGAAAATAGAGTGTTATTACTGTCTTACCTCTGGAGCAAGGCCAGTTGAAAAGGAGGACACACCAAACGTGAGGCCCTGGAACTGGCCTGGATCTACATTGATCATGGAGAGAGCCAGGGAGGGGACGGTCACATTTTGTGACTCCTCAGGGAAATCCATCTGGTCCCCTACGCTGCCTGTGATACCCAGTATGCTGTTGGGAACGTGATGGGAAATGTGCGTGACATATTTGCCATAAAGGACAGCAGAGGATGAAGAAAATGAGACAAGGCAAGATTCAAATGTACTCTTGTAATGCAACCATATTCCCTCTCCCCATTGTCCCTTTCCCTTACTTGTTGGCGACCGCTGATAGGTCAGAACTGGACCCCAGGATGTCAGCGATTATGCTGACAATGTCCTCGCCAAGGGCAGGGGTCACTGTACTGACCCCCAGAACCTCATCCAGCTTCTGGACCACGGTGGCCAGCTGGGAGTCACTCAGGTCCCCCTCGACACCCAGGAGGTCCTCAATCATGTCCACCACGTCTGCTGAGTTGTCTGGGAGGAAAAGACACAAAGTCCAATGTTATGTAATACAATATATTGTAATATTTGAATATAATACTACAGAAAAACAAAGGGAAAGGGAAGAACATGTATGCCGTAGGTACAGTGTAATACATGACAAATTACTGTTATTTCACCAGAACCTAGTCACTGGTATTTAGACTGCACAAGGGACTTACTTGCTGTGACGGTGACATTGTCCAGATCAGAGATGGTGATCACCGGCTTGCATGCCTTCAGGTTTGGTTCACCCCATTTGGCCTTCTCAGTCACTCCATCCAACTCACTAAAGTGAAGAAGGGGGCCAAGAGAAAAGGAGATTCAGGTGAAATGAGCAGAAGATGAGAGGGCCAGTCTTGTCTTGTTCTGATCTGTAGTTAATAAGCAATCTGTTGCTATTTTGCATAATTGCACATCTCTTTTTACGATGATCAAAAACAATTATTTCAGAGAGGAGGGTGGGCTAAGGAGTCATCATGGGGAACGTAAGTCAAAGGACTTTCCATTCAATTATATGTGATGATTATTTTCTTTCCCTTCAACAGGCACGTTCACAGATAGGAGTTAACTGCCCCAGTATATGTGCGTTAGAGACCTCTCTAACGCCCAGAAAGCTCTGATTCAAACTCCCATTCACCAGCTCTGCAAGCGTTATAATGTCAAAATACATGAGTTACTCACTAAATATGGAGTTTCGGTGAGCAACTATCTTCATTTACTCCCGTTACACGGCCGGTATGTACTTCCAAAAATGTATAAATAAAAATGTATAAGAAACCTTGTCCATGGCAGTAATGCGTGATACAGTACATTGGAGGTACCTTGTACATTTTTATTTAGACCTTTTTTGGAAGTACATACCTGCCATAACAGGAGTAAATGAAGATAGTTGCCCAGCGAAACTCCATATTTGGTGAGTAACGAACGTATTTTGACATTATAACGCTTACAAAAATGGTGAATGAGAATTCGAATCGTAGCTTTCTGGGCGTTAGTAGAAGACATATGAATAAAAAAATGTTTTCCCTCGTTATGTCGAGATCACAACTTATTTATCTCATGATCACGACATAACAAAAGTTGTTTTTTCGAGATCACAAGATAATTTTCTTGTGATCACAAAATAACAAAAGTTGTTTTGTCGAGATCACAAGATCATTTTCTCGTGATCACAAAATAACAAAAGTTGTTTTGTCGAGATCACAAGATAATCAAAAGTACCATGCATCATCAGTTCATTTGTTCAGATGCACGATAACCACCATCAAGGAGCCCTGTGGCTGTGTTGATGCAATGCGGGGCATTTAAGCTCTGAGCGATGCCTGACCGGTAGCATCATCTCCCAGGCTGCGTGCCACCCCCAAGACTACAGCCAATCGCATGCAAGGAACAACGCAGCTAACTTTGCTAGTCTTGTGGCTAGTTAGCTACCTAGTCTTGTGGTTGTTTGCTTGCATAACTATGCTAGTTGTTAGCTTGCATAACTGATATGTGTATAATTATAAGGGACACTTCATGATTTGTGGATAATGTTTACATTTACAGTGGGTGAGCTCCATTCCTGACAGGCTGATCAGATTCAATTTCAGCTTCAGAGGCTGATAAGTTAGGACGCTGCCTTGGAGGCGGTTTCATAGGTAAGGCTCCTTGCAGGCAGATTAGCTGTCAGCGCTTTATAGGCTGATGCATATAATCCAGAGTGGGTGAACTCTATTACTGGCAGGCTGATCTGATTATATAGCAGCCTCAGAGGCTGCCTTGTAGGCTGTTTCATATGTAAGGCTCCTTGCAGAAAGCCTACTAGGCAGCATCCTGACTTATCAGCCTCTGTGTCACGACTTCCTCCGAAGCTGCCTCCCCTCCTTGTTTGGGCAGGCTTCGGCGTTCGTCATCACCGGCCTTCTAGCCACTGCCACTCCATATCTCATCATTCCATTTGTCTTGTCCTGTCAATTACACACACCTGGTTCATATTCCCCTCATTGTGCTCCCGAGTGGCGCAGCGGTCTAAGACACTGCATCTCAGGGCTTGAGGCATCACTACAGACCCCCTGGTTCGATTCCAGGCTGTATCACAACCGGACGTGATTGGGTCACATAGGGTTGTCCAGGTTTGGCCGGTGTAGGCCGTCATTGGAAATAAGAATTTGTTCTTAACTGACTTGCCTAGTTAAATAAAGGTATAAAAAATTAGTATGTGTTCCCTCTGCCCCCTTGTCCTTGTGGGTGATTGTTTCATATGAGTGGAGCTTCCTGTACTTTGTATTGCCGGGGTATATTTGTTCCAGTGCACCTGTTTTGCGCCCTGGACTGTTGACGCTATCCAGCGTAACTGTGCACTACGGAATAAACTCTGTATTCTGTGATTTACCCTCCTGCGCCTGACTCCTTCAAATCACACTCTCACACTCTGAGGCGGCTATTGAATCTGATAAAGCTGTGGCTGAAATTGAATCTGATCAGCCTGTCAGGAATGGAGCTCACACACTATATACATTTAAATATTATCCATAAAACATTAAGTGTCCCTTACAATTATACACATATCAGTTATGCAAGCTAACAAACAGCATATATATAACAAGCTAGCTATATAGCTAGCTAACAAGATTAGCCAAGTTACAGTGCCTTCAGAAAGTATTCACACCCCTTGATTTCTTTCACAATTTGTTGTGTTACAGCCTGAATTGAAAATGGATTAAATATAGATTTTTTGTCACTGGCCTACACACAATACCCCATAATGTCAAAGTGGAATTATGTTTTTCAACATTTTTACAAAAGCTGAAATGTCTTGAGTCAATAAGTATTCAACCCCTTTCTTATGGCAAGCCTAAACAAGTTCAGGAGTAAAAATGAGTTTAACAAGTCACGTAATAAGTTGCAAGGGCTCACTCTATGTGCAATAACAGTTTTTAACATGATTTTTGAATGTCTACCTCATCTCTGTACCCCACACATACAATTATCTGTAAGGTCCATCAGTCGAGCAGTGAATTTCAAACACAGATTCAACCACAAAGACCAGGGAGGTTTTCCAATGCCTCGCAAAGAAGGGCACTTATTGGTAGATGGGAAAAAAGCAAACATTGAATATCCATTTGAGCATTGGGATGTTGTATCAATACACCAAGTCAGTTGCCGGAGAGGAAGGAAACCGCTCAGGGATTTCACCATGAGGCCAATGGTGACTTTAAAACAGTTACAGAGTTTAATGGCTGTAATAGGAAAAAACTGAGGATGGATCAACAACATTGTAGTTACTCCACAATACTAACCTAACTGACAGAGTGAAAAGAAGGAAGCCTGTACAGAATTTAAAAAATCCAAAACATGTATCCTGTTTGCAACAAGGCAAGGCAAAAAATGTGTCAAGGCAGTTAACTTTTTGTCCTGAATACAAAGTGTTATATTTGGGGCAAATCCAATACAACACATTACTGAGTACCATTCTCCATATTTTCATGCATAGTGGTGGCCTCATCATGTTATGGGTATGTTTGTAATCGTTAAGGACTGGGGAGTTTTTCAGGATAAAAAAGATACGGAAAGGAGCTAAGCACAGGCAAAATCCTAGAGGAAAACCTTGTTCACACTGGGAGATGAATTGATCTTTCAGCAGGAGAATAATCTAAAACAAAAGGCCAAATCTACACTGGAGTTGATTACCAAGAAGACAGTGAATATTGACAGAATGGCGCCGGAGGGGATGGCTATTTTGTGTTTTTTTTGCATTGTTTGTAACTTATTTTGTACATAATGTTGATGCTACCGGAAAGAGCTTCTGGATATCAGAACAACTGGACGAAGATCTTTTCTTTAATGAGTCTGACGTGACCATATCCCAACCAGAAGCCATGGATTACAGGCAACACTCGCACCGAGCTAAAGGCTAGAGCTGCCGCTTTCAAGGTGTGGGACACTAATCCGTACGCTTATAAGAAATCCCGCTATGCCCTCAGACGAACCATCAAACAGGCAAAGCGTCAATACAGGACTAAGATTGAATCCTACTACACCAGCTCTGACGCTCGTCGGATGTGGCAGGGCTTGCAAACTATTACGGACTACAAAGGGAAACCCAGCCGCGAGCTGCCAAGTGACGCGAGCCTACCAGACGTGCTAAATGCCTTTTATGCTCACTTCGAGGCAAGCAACACTGAAGCATGCAAGAGAGCAACAGCTGTTCTGGACGACTGTGTGATCTCGCTCTCCATAGCCGATGTGAGCAAGACCTTTAAACAGGTCAACATTCACAAGGCCGAGGGGCCAGACGGATTACCAGGATATGTACTCAGAGCATGCGCGGACCAACTGGCAAGTGTCTTCACTGACATTTTCAACCTCTCCCTGACCGAGTCTGTAATACCTACATGTTTGTGCCCAAGAAAGCGAAGGTAACCTGCCTAAATGACTACCGCCCCGTAGCACTCACGTCAGTAGCCATGAAGTGATTTTAAAGGCTGGTCATGGCTCACATCAACACCGTCATCCCGGAAACCCTAGACCCATTCCAATTCGCATACCGCCCCAACAGATCCACAGATTATGCAATCTATAGGGAGGAGGTCAGAGACTTCAGGACAACAACCTCTCCCTCAACGTGAGCAAGACAAAGGAGATGATCATGGACTACAGGAAAAGGAGGGCCGAACAAGCCCCCATTCACATCGACGGGGCTGTAGTGGAGTGGGTCGAGAGTTTCAAGTTCTTTGGTGTCCACATCACCAACAAACTATCATGGTCCAAACACACCAAGAAAGTCGTGAAAAGGGCACGACAGCGCCTTTTCCCCCTCAGGAGACTGAAAATATTTGGCACGGGTCCCCAGATCCTCAAAAGGTTATACAGCTGCACCATCGAGAGCATCCTGACCGGTTGCATCACCACCTGGTATGGCAACTGCTCGGCATCTGACCGTAAGGTACTACAGAGGGAAGTGTGTACAGCCCAGTACATCACTGGGGCCAAGCTTCCTGCCATCTAGTGCCTATATACTAGGCGGTGTCAGAGGAAGGCCCCAAAAATTGTTAAAGACCCAAGTCATAGACTGTTCTCTCTGCTACCGCACGGCAAGCGGTACCGGAGCGCCAAGTCTAGTTCCAAATGGCTCCTTAACAGCTTCTACCCCCAAGCCATAAGACTGCTTAACAATTAATAAAATGGCCACCCGGACTATTTGCATTGACACTGCTGCTACTCACTGTTTATTATCTATGCATAGTCACTTTACCCCTACCTACATGTACAAATTACCTCGACTAACCTGTACCCCTGCACATCGA